ACCTGCATGCGGCTGCAGGGCGGCGCGAAGCCCCTGGAGCTCCAGCGCATCCTGAACAACCTCAACCTGGTCCGCTCGCCCGCGGCCGGCCTCCCGCTCGTGAGCAGCCTCCCGCTCGTGAGGAGGAGGAGGAGGAGGAGGAGGAGAAGGAGGCGAGGAGGAGGAGGTCCAAATCTCTCCTCACCGTCATCTTACTCTCCTCAGGTGCCTGCTCCAGTGCAGGTGGCCGGCGCTTGCTCTGCGCCGTTTCTGGCATCTGTTTTGCCTGTTGCGCTGGGCGCCGGTGATCGAGCGCGGCAAGCTCGCCATGGCGAAGGGGGGTGCACAGCTGAACGTAGAGGTGTCGAACCTGAAGGTGGACGTGCAGACCGCGCGCCGTCAAGTGGACCAGAAGGGCAAGGAGCGGGAGGCCGTGTCGACACGTCGGGATGCTTCGGCTGTCGGCTCCCGGTGCCTTCGCGACGTGGGCATTGACGCCCGCGCGAGGAAGGCGATGGGCTTGCTGATTTGACTGGCCTGCACGATGTGTGCGCGATCACTTGGCAAATGGAGAAGGGGGGAATTGATGGGAAGAGCATGGGTCGCGTAGGCATAGCGAGGCTGATCTTGCACTTGAAGATGGAAATGAGCAGCCTGCATGAGCTGGGCACGACAAGCTGGGAAAGGGAGAATGCGAGCCCGGATGAGACGAATCTGGAGCGCGGCGCCATGAAGCAGAAGACCTTGGACTTGAGGCGAGCGTTGCAGTCTGCGCGTCGCGTGCGTCGTGATCGCGCGGTTGGCTCGCGATGAGAAGGACTGGGCGGCTGCGTCCGACCGCCTGGCCCGCCTGGCCGGCGATCTCGGCGCCCGCCTCCTCGAGGGCCATGGCGCCCGCGAGGCCTTGGGCGACGCCCTCGCCCTTTTCCTTCCCGAGGGCTGCGCCGCCCGTGGATCCGAGCCGTGAAGGCCAGGCAGGGTGACCCCTTCCAACACAAGCTGTCCTTCGTGCGTCGCGCGTGCGTCTCCCGTGCGCCGGCCCTGGACTGCGCCTCTGTCCCTAGTCTTGGCCTCCCAGAGTGTGTGGGCGACATGTGGCGAGACTTCGGAGTCTCGTCGGCGTCATCTTGGTTTCCGCCGCTGGTTCGTCGACAGCGCCTACCTTTGCATGCGAGACGCCCTGCGACGACGCCCAGCTTTGCATGCGAGACGTAACGCAGTTTTATGTTTCACCCATGCGCTATTTTTCCACCCGCGCGCTACATATTTCGAAAGTTTTATGGCAGGTGTCGCCGACCCTGAACGGAGGACGACGACGACGAAAACGACGACGACGGCGACGACGGCGGCGGCGGCAACGACGACGAGGACGACGACGAGGATGAGGACGAGGACGAGGACGACGGCGGCGGCGGCGGCAACGACGACGACGCGGGCGTGCGCCAGAGTCCTTAGGGATTGTTCTTTGGGGTCTCATCGGAAGTCTCTCGGGGTCTCTGAGGAGGAATGCTTGGGCATCTTCGGAGCCTCTTGGGGGCCTCTTGGGAGCCTCCTGGGGGCCTCTTCGGGTTTCCTGGGCACCTCTTGTGGGCCACCTGGGGCCTCTGGGAACCTTTAGGGGCCTCCTGGGAGCCTCGTGGGGCCGAGGGCTCGAAATGTCTGTTCGGGTCCCCCGTCTGGGCACGCTCTTGGAGCCGTTTGGGGGGCATCCGGGGCAGTCTTGGAGGCGTTTTGGGCTGTCTTGGAGTCCTCCTGGGTTGCTTTGGGGCCTTCTTGGAGGCCTCTTGGGCCGTTTTGGGGAGATCTTTTGGGACTCTGGCGCCGCTTTGGCCCCCCAGGACCCCTTCCAGGACCCCCCCAGGACCCCCCCGGGCTCCCCCCCCTGGCGCGGGGAAGAGACCAAAAGGCAGGGGCTTCCCTTCGATTCGATTACACGACGTTGTTAGATTTTTCTCTCGCTGACAAGGTTGAGGAGGGGTGTGCTGGGAAAAGGGACGACTGAGACGGCGACTGACGGCGACGACGGCTCGAACAGCCAAGCCCCTCACACATGCCGACAGGGTCGGCGGATTTTGCTAGTGCGTCTTTTCTGGACGCGCCAGCTTGTTTCAGGGTGGGGGCGTGCCGCGTTGATTGCGCCTCTCTCGCCCACTCATTTGGCTGCCGTGTCCCTTTCTCCCGCCGCTCCCTCGCCTCTCCTCCTCCTCGCTTGCCCTCTTCGCTCCTGCCTCTCCTCCTCCTTGTCTCTTTTCCCATGACAGCTCCCGCCAGCGCTCTTTCCTTTGCTCCTTTCCGTCGCGCGTCCTTGCCTCCTCCCCCTCCTTTCCGTGCAACTGTGGCCGCGACGTTGCTCGCTCGGTTTCATGGCGGAGGTGCTTCCGCGTTGCGCGTCACGGCGCGCGTCCGCGCGCGTCGCTGCCATTATGATTTCGGGCGCTACTGCCTGCGTTTTTTTCGCAGTCGCACGATGATGTTCACACAGGCCTCCGCGAGACTTGCGCCCGACGCGCGCGCGACATCCGCTCGACCCGCTCGTCGTACGCGCGACGCACGCGCGACGCACGCGCGACGTTGCCCAGCCAGCGCGCGACGCATCCCACCCAATCCCCGAAGCCTCGAAGCTGCAGGCTGCATGCTCCCCCTCCGCCCCCTCTCTCTTCTCCTCTCCCCTCTTCTTTTCATCTTCGCCCCCCACTTCTCAGCGATGAAGTCTTGGCGCGCGACTTGTCTGTAAACGGGCGGCGTTGTGTTGCGTGAGTCGTTTGTGTGACAGCGGCGCTCTGTAACGCGATTTGTTTGTAGAGTGGCTGAGTTGTTTAGCTCGTGCTGTGGGTGAAGTTGTGGGCGGGGGCTAGGGGGCTAGTCCATGCGACGATCACGGCCTCCTCTGCGGCTCGTTTTCACCGGTCCATCGCTTGTCTTCCGTTGCTTTGCGTTGCGTTTGCTTTCCGTGAGTTTCGACATCTTCGCAGCCGCTCGGCTTGCAACGGGCTTGCGGTCCACTCGCCAAGCCCTTGTCGATGGGAAGTTCGCGTGATGGCTGCCCGCCGAGCTGGCGACCCACTCGTCAATTGGGCACCTCGTGGGCACGACTTGCTTCTTCCCCGAGGCGACTTGCACTTGAGGCCGCCTTTGAGCGGGCGACGTACGCGCGAACTGCCTCGTGGGTGCCCGCCAACGTGGCGACGCCATCGCCAAACACCCCCCCTGCGAGGGCGACGTGTACCTTCGCGAGGACGTCCAGCCTGTTTGGCGGCCGACGCACCCCGTGTGGCGAAAGGGGGGCTGGCACGTCGGACGAGTTACTGCGCTTTAGCATTCCGAATTTCCCCAGAAGAGAGGCGAGACGCTCCTCGTGCCACAGGGGTGGACATGCTGGGGCTGCGGCCTGGTAGATACGCAGGTTGGCGTGAGTATGGCCGTGGGTCCTACCTCTTGACCTCTTCTGGACTTCTGGGTCCAGTTGCGGTTTAGGGGGTTGGGTTGTACCCTGGGGCGCGCCCGTGCTGGGTTGTGCTGTCCAGTCCGCATTCAGTGTCCGGCCATCATTGTCCTCTTTGTTCACGTCGTCGTTGTTGTCATCCTCCTCCTGTTCCTCCTCCTCCTCCTTTTCCCCCTCCCCCTCCTCCTCCTCTTCCTCCTCTTCCTCCTCCTTCTCCTCCTGCCCGTCCTGCTTCTCCCCGTGTTCCTTCCGCTCCTCTTGCTCCTCTTGCTCCTCCTTCCTCTCCTCCCCTTCCCCTCCTCTTCCTCTCCCCCCCCGCGCACGGCGCAGGTGGTGAGGGAGGTGTCCATTATCAAGGCCAATCTGGAGGGAGTCGACGGTCGATTTAGGTAGTGATTTTCCCGGCCGCGCCCGGCGCGCAGCGGCGCCACCGCGACGACGGCCGGCCCCGGACCCCCGACGTCACGACTTGTTCGAATCGGGGGTGGACAGAACCCCCAACAGTGACACGTCGATTAGTGAATTGTCCGTTTTCGGTTCTCGAGAGGGCGCTGAGGCCGTTACTTTCCAGGCTTGCGCCCGCCAGGTTTGGGCCTCAGGTCGTTTTGACTAAACCACGTTTTACTAAGATCGAAACATTCAAGCAGTTTGTATTATCTTGACACATCGGATGTATTTTCTAAGAAGAAAGTTGTTTTTCCCCAGCCATCTCTCTTTGGGTCCTCGTTTTGAAGAGACAGCGCCATGCGTTCTCCTCCTCTCCTCCTCCCCCTCCTCCCTCCTCCCATGCGTGCCTCTGCCCTCCGCATGTCCATTCGGCACTCTGCCCTCCGCATGCCAGATCGGCACACCCCTCACACGGTTCGTGACCCCATGGGGAGCTCCACCCAAGTCCCAAGTGACCGCGTTCGCATGCGTCCCCCGCCCACCGCATGCCCATTTCGGCACACCCCTCACACGGTTCGTGGCCCCATAGGGAGCTCCACAGAAGGCCCCAGTGGCCGCGTTCACATGCGTCCCGCCGCCCACCGCATGCCCATGCCTAGGGGAGCAAGAAGTGACATAAACATAAAAACTCGGAGGTCCGCGCGGATTTCTTGGATCGGCGCTGGGGCCCCCCGGCGGCTCCTCCTGCGCCGCCCCGCGCGCCAGGGAGGGGGTCCAGCGCCGATCCGAGAAATCCGCGCGGACCTCCGAGTTTTTATGTCAGAGTGAGGGGGCCGAACGGTCATTCACTGTCCCTGGGTGCGTGGCTGAAGTGGAATTCCGCGGTGCGGATTCTCGTTGTTGTTGTAGTAGTAGTTGTTGTTGTTGTTGAACATTATTTATTCTAAAGAATAATTATTGTTGGGACCCCTGGTGCGCGCCCCCCTCGCCGCGCCTAGGCCGCAGCCACATTTTCATCATTTTCGTGAGGAAGTCTCCGGCAAAACGTGGGTGTCCGGATCCGGTTGTTTTGTTGACGCCCGCTTTCCCTTGCAAAAAACACTACAAAATGACATTTCTTGTTCTAACATAACCAAACTTCAAGAATCCTTTGAAAAAAATGACACGAAGTGCACACTCGCGCGCGCAAGATGAAATCCTTCCAAAACCTTAGTTTTCGTAGCGATTTTAACATAAAAACATGAAAAACCCAATGGTTTTTCAAAAAAAAGTTTCAAAAATTCATCTTGCGCGCTCTTGCGGATTTCTGAGGAAACCCAATATTTTTTCAACATTTCTGTCAAACGGGCTCTTGCGAGCAACTTTTTCACGTGCTTCGAACTTCTGCAACAACGGTTGCGCGCATGCCAGGGCCATCATCCCTGTCAAATAATACCATATTGGACACATTCGTTTTTTCTTCGCGCGCGCACGCCGTCGTCGTCGGCCGCGGGGCCCTGAATAGTAGCCACGGTCGTCCGCATGCCACGAAGTGAAGTGTCCGAACGTCATAGGGCGGGAAGCTGGGTGTGGGTGGTGGCGAAGAGTCGTATGGAAATTTGGTAGAGCTTGAACCGGCCCCCCCACAAAGTGGGGGTATTGCCCGCCTCCTATGAAAACCCTGGCACTGGTGAGAACGGAGTGTCCCCAGTCTTAAATGATTGTTGTTGTTGTTGTTGTTGCAGAGTGAGGGGGCCGAACGGTCATTCACTGTCCCTGGGTGCGTGGCTGAAGTGGAATTCCGCGGTGCGGATTCTCGTTGTTGTTGTTGTTGTTGTTGGTGTTTTTGTGTTGTTGTTGGTGTTGGTGTTGAACATTATTTCTTCTTAAGAATAATTATTGTTGGGACCCCTGGTGCGCGACCCCCCCGCCGCGCCTAGGCCGCAGCCTCATTTTCATCATTTTCGTGAGGAAGTCTCAGGCAAAACGATTGGTACCGGATCCGGTTGTTTTGTTGTAATCCGTTTTCCCTTGCAAAAAACACTATAAAATGAAAATTCTTGTTCTTACTTGATCAAATTGCAAGAATCCCTTGCAAAAAATAAGGTAAAGTGGACATTCGTGCGCGCAAGACGAAATCCTTCCAAAACCTTAGGTTTCGTAGCGATTTTAACATAAAAACATCAAAAACCCAATGGTTTTTTAAGAAAAAATTGTCAAAATGTCCTTCCGCGCGCGCTGTCCGAATCCCACAAAACCAATGGTTTTTCAACATTTATGTTACATGAGCTCGCGCGAGCTACTTTTTCTTGTTCTAACATAATCAAATTTCAATAATCCCTTGCAAAAAATAAGGTAAAGTGGACATTCGCGCGCGCAAGACGAAATCCTTCCAGAACCTTAGGTTTCGTAGCGATTTCAACATAAAAACATCAAAAACCCAATGGTTTTTCAAAAAAAAATGTCCAAAATTCATCCCGCGCGCGCTGTCCGACTCCCACAAAACCAATGGTTTTTCAACATTTATGTTACATGAGCTCGCGCGAGCTACTTTTTCTTGTTCTAACATAATCAAATTTCAATACTCCCTTGCAAAAAAAAATAAAGTGGACATTCGCGCGCGCAAGACCAACAAAAAACACGACGATCTCAGGAACTTGCCCCAAAAATGTGACCAACTCCGCTCTCTCTGTCTCTCTCTCTGTCTGCTCTCTGTCTCTCTCTCTGTCTGTCTGTGTCATGTATTCTATGTCACAATTGCAGGATGCTGGGCACACGCGCGCCCCGAATAAGTGACCAAGTTCTGTGGGTGTGTACCCCACGCCAGTGTAGTAGCCACGGTCGTCCGCACGCCACGAAGTGAAGTGTCCCAACGTCATAGGGCGGGAAGCTGGGTTTGGGTGGTCGCGAAGAGTCGTTTGGATATTTGGTAGAGCTTGAACTGCCCCCCCACGAAGTGGGGGTATTGTCTCGCGTCGCATGAAAACCCTGGCACTGGTGAGAACACTGAGCGTTCGGGTAAAATGATTGTTGTTGTTGTTGTTGTTGTTGTTGTTGTTCTAAAGAATAATTATGATGCGCCGCCTAGGCCGCAGCTACATTTTCATCATTTTCGTGAGGAAGCCTCAGGTAATTGTCAAGATCCGGTTGTTTTGTTGTAATCCGTTGCAAAAAACACTATAAAATGACATTTCTTGTTCTAATATAATCAAATTTCAAGAATCCCTTGCAAAAAAAAGGTAAAGTGGACATTCGCGCGCGCAAGACGAAATCCTTCCAAAAGCTTAGTGTTCGGAGCGATTTTAACATAAAAACATCAAAAAACCAATGGTTTTTCAAAAAAAATGTCAAAATCTCATCCCGCGCGCTCTTGCGGATTCGTAGGAAACCCAACACTTTTTAAACATTTCTGTCAAACGGGCTTTTGCGAGCAACTTTTTCGAACTTCTGCGACAACGGTTGCGCACCTGCCAGGGCCATCATCCCTGTCAAATAATACCATGCGGGACACATTCGTTTTTTGCGCGCGCACGCCGAAATCTCCAAAAACCATAGGGTCCTCGAAAAACACCTGCACGTCTTCCCTTGCGAGTACGTATCATGTGTATCATGTGTATCATGTACCATATGCATCATATGCAACAGATGTTCTGTGGAAGGCTTAACAACTTCTGTGGGTTAACAAGGCTTAACAACGTCTGTGGGTGTACGAA